TAATTCTGTTTTCTTGGAACAACCGCAAAATTGCAATGGCAACTACAAAGCCCTCAAAACAATCTGTTTCGCCCAAGACGAGGAGTTCTAGTTTCTTAACCCTAATTAGCAGCGAGCAGGAGTTGAACGAGGCTGTCAAGGAAGCGGAGTATTTTTGTCCCTTGGTGTTGAAGGGGTTGTTGCAGCTTGGCAGAGGAGGAAAAAGTGACATTCCACAAGACGTGCAGCAGATTTTGTCACAATTTCAGGAACTACTTTCTGAAAAGTTGCCAAACGAGTTACCACATATGCGGGACATACAACACCGAATTGACTTGGTGCCTGGAGCTAGCCTTCCGAATCTGCCCCATTATCGGATGAGCCCCAAGGAAAATGACATCCTAAGAGAGCAGATTGAAGACTTACTGCAGAAGGGATTTATCAGGGAGAGCTTGAGTCCCTGCGCATTTCCAGTTTTGCTAGTTCCAAAGAAAGACAAAACTTGGCGAATGTGTGTTGATAGCCGAGCAATCAACAAGATAACAGTCAGGTACAGGTTTCCCATTCCATGGTTGGAGGATATGCTGGATGTTCTTGGTGGTTCAAGGGTGTTTTCCAAGATAGATTTGCGAAGCGGTTACCACCAGATTCGCATCAGACCTGGCAACGAATGGAAAACAGCGTTCAAGAGCAAGGACAGATTATTTGAATGGTTGGTGATGCCATTCGGATTGTCTAATGTGCCTAGCACTTTCATGAGACTCATGAATCAGGTTCTTCGCCCATTTATTGGTTCCTTTGTTGTAGTTTATTTCGATGACATTTTAATTTACAGCACCATAAAAGAAGAACATCTTGTGCATTTGAGACAAGTCTTAGATGTTTTGAGAGAAAACAAGCTGTATGTGAACCTAAAAAAATGTACTTTCTACACAAATAAGCTACTGTTCTTGGGTTTTGTTGTTGGTGAGAATGGTATCCAGGTAGATGACGAGAAGATCAAGGCAATCCTTGACTGGCCAGCTCCAAAGACAGTCTCTGAAGTTCGAAGTTTCCATGGTTTGGCCACCTTTTACAGAAGATTTGTGAGGCATTTCAGCTCCATTGTTGCCCCTATCACAGAGTGTTTGAAGAAGGGCCGGTTCAGCTGGGGAGAAGAGCAAGAGAGAAGCTTTGCAGATATAAAAGAAAAGCTTTGCACCGCGCCGGTTCTAGCTCTTCCAAACTTTGAGAAAGTATTCGAAGTTGAGTGTGATGCCAGCGGCGTGGGAGTCAGAGTTGTGCTTTCACAAGACAAGCGGCCAGTTGCATTCTTTTCTGAAAAGCTGAGCGATGCACGTAAAAAATGGAGTACTTATGACCAAGAGTTCTATGCGGTTGTTCGGGCTTTGAAGCAATGGGAGCACTATCTTATCCAGAAGGAATTTGTTTTGTTTACAGATCACCAAGCGTTGAAGTATATTAACAGCCAGAAAAATATTGATAAAATGCATGCTAGATGGGTGACTTTTTTGCAGAAATTCTCATTCGTTATCAAGCATACTTCCGGCAAGACAAATCGTGTGGCGGATGCGTTGAGTAGAAGAGCTTCATTGTTAGTCACATTGACTCAAGAAGTTGTGGGGTTTGAATGTCTGAAAGACTTATATGCGGGTGACGATGATTTCAAGGAACTTTGGACTAAGTGCACTAATCATGAGCCAATGGCAGAATACTTTATTAATGAAGGTTATTTGTTCAAAGGCAACCAGTTGTGTATTCCAGTTTCCTCTTTAAGAGAGAAGCTTATTCGGGACTTGCATGGTGGAGGGTTGAGTGGCCACCTAGGCCGTGATAAAACAATTGCAGGGATGAAGGAGAGATTTTACTGGCCACAGCTCAAACGAGATGTTGGAACTATTGTGCGCAAATGCTACATTTGTCAAACTTCAAAGGGGCAGGTACAAAACACTGGATTATATATGCCATTACCAGTTCCTAACGATATTTGGCAGGATCTTGCTATGGATTTTGTCCTCGGTTTGCCCGAACACAAATGGGAGTGGACTCTGTATTTGTGGTGGTTGATCGGTTCACAAAAATGGCGCATTTCATAGCCTGCAAAAAGACTGCTGATGCATCAAATATAGCCAAACTGTTTTTCAGGGAGGTTGTTCGCTTGCATGGGGTTCCTACATCCATTACATTTGATCGTGACACCAAGTTCTTATGCCATTTTTGGATCACCTTGTGGAGACTGTTTGGGACTACTTTGAATCGTAGCAGCACGGCCCATCCCCAGATTGATGGCCAAACTAAGGTTACAAACCGGACATTGGGCAATATGATACGAAGTGTCTGTGGAGAGAAGCCAAAACAATGGGATTATGCACTACCACAGGTGGAGTTTGCATATAACAGTGCAGTCCATAGTGCAACTGGAAAGTCTCCATTCTCCATTGTTTATACTGCTATACCTAACCATGTTGTAGATTTGGTGAAACTGCCTAGAGGCCAGCAAACCAGTGTGGCAGCAAAAAATTTGGCTGAGGAAGTAGTAGCTGTTCGTGATGAAGTCAAGCAGAAACTTGAGTAAACTAATGCCAAGTACAAAGTTGCTGCAGATCGGCATAGGCGTGTTAAAGTGTTTCAAGAAGGCGATTCTGTGATGATATTTCTGAGGAATGAGAGGTTTCCCGTTGGCACATATAGCAAGCTTAAACCAAAAAAATAGGGTCCTTACAAAGTGCTCAAACGGATCAATGATAATGCCTATTTTATTGAGTTACCGGATTCCATGGGAATTTCCAATACTTTTAATGTTGCAGATTTATATGAGTTCCGTGAAGATGAGGTCCTTTATCCAGATCATAACTCGAGGTCGAGTTCTTCGGAGGTGGAAGGGACTGATGTAGAACAAATGGCGGATTATATTGCGGTTGAGCTAGAAAAAGGACGTGGCGGGAATTTGCAGATTTGTCGTCCGAGCTCCGATTATGATGGATTTTGGCATCTTGAGGTCGTTTGACATTCCAAAACTGCATTCAAAGTTTCGTAGTTAATTTCTGGAATAAATTCTACTTTTCAGTTTTAATGTAATAACTCCCCTAGCAGCTCAAGGGTTGAGAGATGTGTATTTAGACAGGTTTGGTGAACGTTTTTTAGTAACTCAGATTTGAATGAAAATTATCCCAAGGGAATTACTCTCAATTTCTGGTGGAATCCAGATTTCTTGTTACTCAAGGTTTTCGTTTGAAACCTTTGTTGCTTGTGCTGCGTCACATACCCTAGTTCCCTTCCAAACATGTTGGAGGCTGCTGTTCCGCAAGTCCAGAGCAATTAGATTTTCCAAGTAAAAATTGGTTGGTATTGACTTTAAAGCGAATCCTCGCCAAGACAACCATATTAAACTTTTTGGGAAATCTTCATAGCCTCCACTGACTTTTACATTATCAAGCAGCAGGAGTTCAAGATTGTGCATCCTTCTAAATGCCTCTGTTTTGAAACCTATCTCATTTGATACAGGAAATGAGTTTGTTGATGAAAAACTAATTGACTGCCAGGAGAAGAAACCAAGCCGACGTCGGCTGCTTGAACAGTTTCCATCACAATCCTCAACATGGAATCTTTTTCTGTTACTTCCACTGGATATTATCTTAGAAGATTCATCTTTTATTAACAAAGGAATGTTAAGCATGAGGCCCATAATAGTTTTTGTACCCTGGTAACAAATAAGAACATTGGGAAGTAACTTGTGACATGCACAACACAATTACAAATGATGAGTTGAGCACAAAATTGCTGGGTTTTGGGAGTAAGAGAGTAAGCTTGCTCTCTGATGTAGTTGATGCTTGTTGGGTAGAAGAGGCCCCCTTTTATAACTGTTGGAAGCTAACATTTTCCAAGAAACCTTAATGGTTTCTATCCAATTTGGCCAAGTCTTTCCCTTCCTTTCTCCTTTCATCTTTTCAATCATCCTTTTTTTGGTGAAATCCACTCTGCCCATTGGCACAAAATCAGGGATTTTTGGGAGCTCAAGGCCCGTTTTCCCACGGCTGTTTCAGACTCCTATTTTCAGCCATCTTTCTTTCTTCTTTTCTCCCCTCTTCCAAGGCTAGGTCTGATGAGGGAAAGAAATAGGTATGCATGCTGGTTCAAAGGGTAATCTGCGCTCCAATATCCCTTGGTCATTTGGAAGTTTCTTGCTTGAAAACTTGTTCCTTCCCTCCCAGCAACCAGCGTGGTCTTCCATGCTTCTTCGTGGCTTCTGTTTTCCAGCAAAGTGTTGATGGTTTTGCAGGTCTTTATTTTATTTATGTGGGCCTTCTAGAACAATGGATTGGCTTATCAAATAAATGGGCCAACTTCACCAAGGTTTGGCTTGAGGTGTTGGGCTTTTTGGTTGAGTCAATAGGTTATTTTGGTTGGGATATTTTCTCTTTATGCTCACCCACATGTTTGGGCCTAAGAAATGGGCTTGGGTTTCGAGGCTCCCAAGCAACCCGGAACCTCCATTTCTCGGCTCATCAATGGGCCTCATGACAACTTATTACCAGCCATACCACAACCCACTCAAGCCTCAGGCATCTTGCGTGGCTTGGGCCCACTTAAGCTTGTGGCGTGATTAGGTGCGGAATAATAATTCCTCGCTTGGGGTGGCATGTGTGCAAGCGCATATGATGAACTTTCGCATGCCCAAATCGGGTTTCTTCTCGATAAGGTATCGCATTGGGCCGAGAATTTATTTGGGCTGAAGCGTGGATTTTTTGGGCCTCAACACCTACATATACTAAAAGTTTGTTATATATATATACATGTGCATATGTATAAGAGTACATATCACTTTAAGATTATGTATTTTTTTACTATACTATATAACAAAAATGCATATGTGTGCTTGTTACCTATGAATCATGATAGCAGTATATGTGTGCTTCTCTAGAGCATGACTAACACAGATGAACAAATATACGTATCACAATTTATTTTTTCATTAAATTGTCATTAGCTAATACCATGTGAAATACTTTCATTTGGTTTTTTGTTACACCCACTTTAAAAGATTGGAATTGGAAGTTATATTGAATTCTGAACATTTTCGGATTGGGGTTCGGAAAATGTCAAAATCAGTTTCCGGTCTGTGCTAGAGGATCCAAATGAGTACAAATAAAGTATTCACCCACCTTATTTTTATTTTTTTTATATAACCTTGATGCTGATGCTGACACATCTCCAGCAACGACATGATTCTGGCTCGAAGGTGTAGTTGTTTCATGCTGGAACGTTGTGGTTATATCTTCAGTTACAGTACCTTCATTATTATTCTGCTCGTACACAAGCTGGATTCCAAATTCCTTTGTCAACATATCGGTTTTATCTCCAACCGAAACACGTATTTCATCCCCACCCTCCAATTCATCGTTTGCGAATCGCCAATGACTAAGCCAGAACATATGTTCCTTCTCTTTTGGAAACCCTACTGTGGTTGGCACATAGGTCCACTTAAGACCCTTGCTCTCATTACTGATGTGAAGAATGGGAGCGCGGTAAAATCCCCAAGCCTTATCACGAACCTTATACACAACACATGCATTTAGGCCTCGGATCTTCAAATTAAGATGTGGAGGTATAGTTATAGACAGCTCAGAGTTACCCATGCTCGACTTGTAGCAGAACCAATCTGGAACCTCGCTCCCAGGAAGGAATATGCTAAATATACCACATTCATCCAGTCCCTGTTTCATGCATGCATGCATGGACAGATTTATATATGTTCAAATATTACAGGCCACAGAAAATAATCATCATAAAAAACTATACAATACATGAGAAAGAGAGAGAGAGAGAGAGAGAGAGAACCTGGAGAGGACCCTTCCTTACTGTACGTGTCAAGTAGTTGTGCATTTCAACTTCAGTGCTTCCTATGGATTCCAAATTGAACAGACCGATATCTTTGATCATTTCTATGTCGACGCTTCTCAACGGTCCTGTTTTGAACACGTTTTGAATTTCAACTAAATTCTTGCATATAAAAACCGCACCTCTAATTGTTGGTAACATGTCGGGTAAGTTTAGTAGTACTCTTTTCAATGAAGTACAATAATATGCGCCCAAATTCTCTACACTTGGTGGGAGCTCGGGAATCATTTCGAGGTTTGTGCAATGATTCAACGAAAGAGTATGGAGCTTACTAAGACCATTCATGTTTACTGGTAGGCTCACAAATGGGTTTCCTTCTAGATTCAAACGCTCCAATGAGGATAGGCTACTAGGAAGATCATTGGGAATTTCTGACAGATTGCAGTACGCCATATCTAAGCGTTTTAAAAATTGTGGCAAACTTGCACTGGTAAGTTGGAGATTTTTTCTTGGCAATACCCATGATCGCATTGATTGCCACAGACTGAGTTTCTTCATGTCACTAGGTGTAGAGTCTGACTGATTTTTAACGATCATACTGGCAGGCAGCACAAGATTTGAGCAACCAGAGAGAATAAGTTTCTGGAGAGATCGCAGCATACTAATTCTTATTGGAAGCTTCATGAGATTTTTGCAATCTTTTAGATTCATGAAAACAAGTTTCTCCAAATCTCCAATGGATTCATCCACCTCTTTCAAATTTATGCAATCTTTAAGAATTAATTTCTCGAGGTTAGGGGATCCTGACAAGTCAGGGGTTGTCACAAGGCCATGTGAATGACTGAGATTTAAGATTTTCAGTATTGGAAGAAACTGTTTTAAAAAAGAAGTAATTAGTTTCTATAAATATATAATCATCTTTAAATTTGTCTGTCTGTGTGTGTGTGTGAGAGAGAGAGAGAGATAGCTAGATAGAGATTAGTAGCATACCTTAGTTCCCTTCCAAACATGTTGGAGGCTGCTGTTCCGCAAGTCAAGAGCAATTAGATTTTCCAAGTAAAAAATGGTTGGTATAGACTTTAAAGCGAATCCTCGCCAAGACAACCATATTAAATTTTTTGGGAAATCTTCATAGCCTCCACTGATTTTTACATTATCAAGCAGCAGGAGTTCAAGATTGTGCATCCTTCTAAATGCCTCTGTTTTGAAACCTATCCCATTTGATACAGGAAATGAGTTTGTTGAAGAAAAACTAATTGATTGCCAGGACAAGAAACCAAGCCGACGTCGGCTGCTTGAACAGTTTCCATCACAATCCTCAACATGGAATCTTTTTCTGTTACTTCCACTGGATATTATCTTAGAAGACTCATCTTTTATTAACAAAGGAATGTTGAGCATGAGGCCCTTAATAGTTTCTGTACCCTGGTAACAAATAAGAACATTGGGTAAGTAACTTGTGACATGCACAACACAATTACAAATACGTAGACATAAAAGAAAATATTTCTTACAGTTAATTTTCTCAAAACATTAGAGGCATCTTTATTCCACACTCTAGTACGTTTTCCAGGATCCTCAGGCGATTCTTCACGAATAATTCCCTTTCCCATGTCTTGAAGTAATTGGTGCATGGTTAACTTGTTGAATCCATCAATTATCAGCAGACATCTATCAACCAGATTTTGAATTCCAATGTTTGTGGCAAACTCACATTCATCAAGGACTGTAGTTGAAAAATCCTTGTCTTTTCCTATGAAGAAACAGGCTATATGGAGGAACAGACGTTTGTCATGATCTTGCAGAGAATCAAAGCTTATTCTGAGAATCTTTTGAATTTTTCCTTCAGTAATCACATCCAAGTTCTGTAATGCATTTTTCCACACATCTGCGGCTTTTCCAAAGAGAGAAGATCCTAGAACTTGAAGAGCTAATGGAACCCCTCCACAGTGTTGCACTACAGGTCTTGAAAGATCCATGTAACCTTCGCCAGGATGGGGTTGTCTAAAGGCATGCCAACTGAAAAGCTCAAGTGATTCATTCTCAAGCAACCCTTCCACCTTAAACATTGCACAATTCTCATGAGCCTTTAACAAATGTTCATGTCTAGTTGTTATGATTATTTTACTTCCTGGATGAAGCCATTCTCGCATTCCAAGAATTGCATTGAATTGTTCCAAGTTGTCAATATCATCAAGAGCAACAAGAACTCTTTTGCAACGTATCGCCCGTTTGATCTTTTTTATTCCTTCCTCCGAGTTGTATATTTTCTTTGCTTTCCCCTTTTGGAGATCTGAAAGAAGGTTCCTTTGCAAGTGAACCAAACCATTGCGAAGTTTTGAAGTTGCTCTAATATCTGCAAGAAAGCTGCCACCTTGAAATTTATAGAAATTCCTGTTATAAGCAATCTTGGCAATGGTGGTCTTGCCAATTCCACCCATCCCATAGACAACAGCTACTCCAACATCACTTGATCCATCTTCTAACCACATGTTTAGGCCTTCCACACGATTATCTATTCCAACTACATAGGGATCGACTATTAATCTCCTATTCCATGTGTGATCCAGTTTATTTCCAATAATTTCAACTATATCTTGGATAAACTGCGACTCGTACCTACAAATTATTGATATCAAAATACACAAGGCACAATAAGTTATATCTTTTCAAGAAAAAAGAAACTTATTTCTTTTTTATTTTTATTTTTATTTTATAGAAGAGAATTGATATTTATATCATAGGATGAAATGAATGATATTAAGCAAATGAACTTTCAAAACAGAAGTGCTGCCGTCTAACAACTCCATGAGATTAAAGAAAAAGCTTCACTATATTCTACTTTAAAAAGCATCCAAAAGATAGAGTGAAAACCACCATTTTAAAGTACCGATCTCCTAAAACCATCCCTCCCAAATCTGCAACATCTCTGAGAGCTTTTCTCCACTTCTCCACCTTGTCCATCTCCTTGTTGAAGCGCTGTTGGTGTCTGGCAAATGCTTCTTCAAAAATTCCTGTCTGGTTCCTGACATGGGATGGATCCACGTCATAGAAAATCGGCATAACCATGTGCTCATTAGTTTCTCTACGGTCCATGATCGTCACTAGTTCATCCAGGCACCATCTCGAGGAAGCGTAGTCCTTGGAGAAGACAATGATGGATACTCGAGACTCTTGTATTGCTTTTTGAAGCTCTGCTGAAATATTTGCTCCTCTCTCGATTTCGTCATCATCTCTAAAAGTGTGGATCCCTGCCACCTCCAAAGCCCTGTAGAGGTGATCAGTAAATCCCTTGCGTGTGTCTGTGCCCCTGAAGCTCAAGAATGCATCATAAGTGCACCGGTGAGAGGACGGAGAAGCATCCTGCTGCGTGCTGGTAGCAGCCATTTGTATGTTCAGCTTGTGTTTGTGTTTGAGAAAAAAAATCTTGCTTGGCTTTCTCGTATGAAACAGGAGAAAACAGGTCCATTGGACATGGTGTTTAGGCTTCAGTGTGTAAATGCTAAGTCCGTGATGGTTGTTGAGGTCAATAAATTTTTAAAATAAATGTCGCTAGATCAATTTCCAAAATAATGAAGTAAATTCGTAATTTTTAAAAAAAAAATTGAAGTAAAATTGTTTTTAAAATGAAAGTCAATAAATTTGTTTGAATTTTCAAATGCAATTGCAATTATGAAATTTTAGTCAAATACCGCCTGCATGGAATTTTCCATCAAATAATAGAGACGACCGGATGTTGACTCTAATAGTCTCTCCTTTCGTCCACATTTTCCCTTCGATTGCAAGAGTCCAATGACCAGGACCCTTCGCTAATGAGAGAAACAATGCAAGTGCTCGATAATTGTACGGTGGCGGGCCCGGCATTACATTAAAGAAAATAAAAAGAAGGCCAGCCTTCACGGGGTCTAGTAGGCTCCACCACTGTGCTCCGTCAATTTTAGTCTTCAGGGGCCAGCCTTGGATGTTGACTCTACCAGTCTTTCTAAGCCAGGCCATTATTTTCAAGCTGTATGTCACTATATTTTCAAGCTCCGTGAAATTCCGTCTGAACCGCCCTGTTTCATGGAGGTTTTCGATGACCATGACGGCAGATCGAGGCTGGGATGGGTTGGGACTAGAAAAGGGAAGTGAGGTGGTTTGTTTGGGACCGGTCTTCAATTCCCTTAACTTAGCTGGTGCCATCCTATACAGTGCCTGAGAAATCGGACTTGTTTCTGGAACAAGCTCAATAGTGAACTCGATTTCCTGGTGAGGATGTAACCCAGGAAGATCCTCAGGGAAAACATTCGGAAATTCATGTACCACTAGAATATCCTCCAAACTCAACCCATTATCTCGGGTGTCAATAACATGAGCTATAGATCCTGAACATCCCTTCCTGATCAAAAAGTCAACTTTAAACCTAATAAAATATTCTAGGGGTATTCTAATCCTTTCTTTGAATAAAATAATAATTAAGAATTAATTAAGGATCGGGTTGTTACAATACTATATAACAAAAATGCATATGTGCGCTTGTTACCTATGAATCATGATAGCAGTATATGTGTACTTCTCTAGAGCAAGACTAACACATTTTTTTAAAGAATGAACAAATATACATATATCACAATTTATTTTTTTATTAAATTGTCATTAGCTAATACCACGTGAAATACTTTCATTTGGTTTTAGATGTACGTGTGTTTTTTTTTTTTTTTTTGTTACAATGTATATGTATACATAAAACATAAAATATTGGAATTGGAAGTTATATTGAATTTTGAACATTTTCGGATTGGAATTCGGACAATGTCAAAATCCGGTCAATATGATGGAGGATACCATCCATGATGATTACAAAGAAAGTATTCACCCACCTTATTTTCATTATTTTTATGAAACCTTGATGCTGATGCTGACACAGCTCCAGCAACGACATGATTCTGGCTCGAAGGTGTAGGTGTTTCATGCTGGAACATCGTGGTTATATCTTCAGTTACAGTACCCTCATTATTATTCTGCTCGTACACAAGCTGGATTCCAAATTCCTTTGTCAACATATCGAATTCACCTCTAACCCCAAATTTATTTGTTGACATATCGAATTCACCTCTAACCGAAACACGTATTTCATCCCCACCCTCCAATTCATCGTTTGCGAATCGCCAATGACTAAGCCATAACATATGTTCCTTCTCTTTTGGATACCCTATTGTGACTGGCATATAGGTCCACTTAAGACCCTTGGTCTCATTACTGATGCTAAGAATGGGAAAGCCCGAGTAAAATCTCAATCCCTCATCATCAACAAACTTATCACGTGCATACACAACACAAGCATTTAGGCCTCGGATCTTCAAATTAAGATGTGGAGGTATAGTTATAGACAGCTCAGTGCTCGACTTGTAGCAGAACCAATCTGGAACCTCGCTCCCAGGAAGGAATATGCTAAATATACCACATTCCTCCAGTCCCTGTTTCATGCATGGATGGAGAGATTTATATATGTTCAAATATTACAGGCCACAGAAAATAATCATCATAAAAAACTATACAATACATGAGAAAGAGAGAGAGAGAACCTGGAGAGGACCCTTCCTTATTGTACTTGTCAAGTAGTTGAGCATTTCAACTTCAGTGCTTCCTATGGATTCCAAATTGAACAGACCGATATCTTTGATCATTTCTACGTCGACGCTTCTCAACGGTCTTGTTTTGAGCACGTTTTGAATTTCAACTAAATTCATGCATCTAACAACCGCACCTCTAATTTTTGGTAGCATGTTGGGTAAGTTTAGTAGTACTCTTTTCAATGAAGTACAGTTATATGCGGACAAAGCCTCTACACTTGGTGGGAGCTCAGGAATCATTTCGAGGTTTGTGCAATGATCCAACAAAAGATTCTGGAGCTTACTAAGACCATTCATGTTTACTGATAGGCTCAAAAATGGGTTTCCACTTAGATCCAAATACTCCAATGAGGATAGGCTACTAAGATCATTGGGAATTTCTGACAGATTGCAGCATGCCATATCTATGCGTTTTAAAAATTGTGGCAAACTTGCACTGGTAAGTTGGAGATTTTTTCTTGGCAATACGAATACACATGATCGGATTGATTGCCACGATTTAACTGCAGATAACAGACTGAGTTTCTTCATGTCATTAGGTGTAGAGTCTGACTGATTTTTAACGATCATACTGGCAGGCAGCACAAGATTTGAGCAACCAAAGAGAATAAGTTCCTGGAGAGATCGCAGCATACCAATTCTTTTTGGAAGCTTCATGAGATTTTTGCAATCTTTTAGATTCAAGAAAACAAGTTTCTCCAAATCTCCAATGGATTCATCCACCTCTTTCAAATTTATGCAATCTTTAAGAATTAATCTCTCGAGGTTAGGGAATCCTGACAAGTCAGGGGTTGTCACAAGGCCATGTGAATGACTGAGATTTAAGATTTTCAGTCTTGGAAGAAACTGTTTTAAAAAAGAAGTAATTAGTTTCTATAAATATTCTTCTTTATATTTTTGTGTCTCTTTGTGTGTGTGTGTGAGAGAGAGAGAGAGAGAGAGAGAGAGAGAGAGAGAGCTAGATAGAGATTAGTAGCATACCTTAGTTCCCTTCCAAACATGTTGGAGGCTGCTGTTCCGCAAGTCAAGAGCAATTAGATTTTCCAAGCAAAAATTGGTTGGTATTGACTTTAAAGCGAATCCTCGCCAAGACAACCATATTAAATTTTTTGGGAAATCTTCATAGCCTCCACTGATTTTTACATTATCAAGCAGCAGGAGTTCAAGATTGTGCATCCTTCTAAATGCCTCTGTTTTGAAACCTATCCCATTTGATACAGGAAATGAGTTTGTTGAAGAAAAACTAATTGATTGCCAGGACAAGAAACCAAGCCGACGTCGGCTGCTTGAACGGTTTCCATCATAATCTTCAACATGGAATCTTTTTCTGTTACTTCCACTGGATGTTATCTTAGAAGACTCATCTTTTATTAACATAGGAATGTTGAGCATGAGGCCCTTAATAGTTTCTGTACCCTGGTAACAAATAAGAACATTGGGTAAGTAACTTGTCACATGCACAACACAATTACGAATACATAGACATAAAAGAAGATATTTCTTACAGTTAATTTTCTCAAAACATTAGAGGCATCTTTATTCCACACTCTAGTACGTTTTCCAGGATCCTCAGGCGATTCTTCGCGAATAATTCCCCTTCCCATGTCTTGAAGTAATTGGTGCATGGTTAACTTGTTGAATCCATCAATTATCAGCAGACATCTATCAACCAGATTTTGAATTCCAATGTTTGTGGCAAACTCACATTCATCAAGGACTGTAGTTGAAAAATCCTTGTCTTTTCCTATGAAGAAACAGGCTATATGGAGGAACAGACGTTTGTCATGATCTTGCAGAGAATCAAAGCTTATTCTGAGAATCTTTTGAATTTTTCCTTCAGTAATCACATCCAAGTTCTGTAATGCATTTTTCCACACATCTGCAGCTTTTCCAAAGAGAGAAGATCCTAGAACTTGAAGAGCTAATGGAACCCCTCCACAGTGTTGCACTACAGGTCTTGAAAGATCCATGTGACCTTCGCTAGGATGGGGTTGTCTAAAGGCATGCCAACTGAAAAGCTCAAGTGATTCATTCTCAAGCAACCCTTCCACCTTAAACATTGCACAATTCTCATGAGCCTTTAACAAATGTTCATGTCTAGTTGTTATGATTATTTTACTTCCTGGATGAAGCCATTCTCGCATTCCAAGAATTGCATTGAATTGTTCTAAGTTGTCCACATCATCAAGAGCAACAAGAACTCTTTTGCAACGTATCGCCCGTTTGATCTTTTTTATTCCTTCCTCCGAGTTGTATATTTTCTTTGCTTTCCCCTTTTGGAGATCTGAAAGAAGCTTCCTTTGCAAGTGAACCAAACCATTGGGAAGTTTTGAAGTTGCTCTAATATCTGCAAGAAAGCTGCCACCTTGAAATTTATAGAAATTCCTGTTATAAGCAATCTTGGCAATGGTGGTCTTGCCAATTCCACCCATCCCGTAGACTACAGCTACTCCAACATCACTTGATCCATCTTCTAACCACATGTTTAGGCCTTCCACACGATTATCTATTCCAACTACATAGGGATCGACTACTAATCTCCTATTCCATGTGTGATCCAGTTTATTTCCAATATCTTCAACTATATCTTGGATAAACTGCGACTCATACCTATAAAATATTGATATCAAAATAAACAAGGCACAAAAAGTTATTTCTTTTCAACAAAAAGAAACTTATTTCTTTATTATTTTTATTTTTATTTTATAGAAGAGAATTGATATTTATATCATAGGATGAAATGAATGATATTAAGCAAATGAACTTTCAAAACAAAAGTTCTGCCATCTAACAACTCCATGAGATTAAAGAAAAAGCTTCACTATAATCTACTTTAAAAAGCATCCAAAAGATAGAGCCCAAAAGTTAGAGTGAAAACCACCATTTTGGGAATGAAAAAGTACCGATCTCCTAAAACCATCCCTCCCAAATCTGCAACATCTCTGAGAGCTTTTCTCCACTTCTCCACCTTGTCCATCTCCTTGTTGAAGCGCTGTTGGTGTCTGGCAAATGCTTCTTCAAAAATTCCTGTCTGGTTCCTGACATGGGATGGATCCACGTCATAGAAAATCGGCATAACCATGTGCTCATTAGTTTCTCTACGGTCCATGATCGTCACTAGTTCATCCAGGCACCATCTCGAGGAAGCGTAGTCCTTGGAGAAGACAATGATGGATACTCGAGACTCTTGTATTGCTTTTTGAAGCTCTGCTGAAATATTTGCTCCTCTCTCGATTTCGTCATCATCTCTAAAAGTGTGGATCCCTGCCACCTCCAAAGCCCTGTAGAGGTGATCAGTAAATCCCTTGCGTGTGTCTGTGCCCCTGAAGCTCAAGAATGCATCATAAGTGCACCGGTGAGAGGACGGAGAAGCATCCTGCTGCGTGCTGGTAGCAGCCATTTGTATGTTCAGCTTGTGTTTGTGTTTGAGAAAAAAAATTGAAGTAAAATTATTTTTAAAATGAAAGTCAATAAATTTGTTTGAATTTTCAAATGCAATTGCAATTATGAAATTTTAGTCAAATACCGCCTGCATGGAATTTTCCATCAAATAATAGAGGCGACCGGATGTTGACTCTAATAGTCTTTCCTTTCTTCCACATTTTCCCTTCGATTGCAAGAGTCCAATGACCAGGACCCTTCGCTAATGAGAGAAACAATGCAAGTGCTCGTTAATTGTTCGGTGGCGGGCCCCGCATAACATTAAAGAAAATAAAAAGAAGGCCAGCCTTCACGGGGTCCGTCAATTTTAGTCTTCAGGGGCCAGCCTTGGATGTTGACTCTACCAGTCTTTCCCCACCAGCCACTGAACATTTGTGATCTCGAGTTTCACACTGAGATGCGAGAGATGTATTGAAGACGAAGCTTAACATGCCGACACATTATTCGTGAATTTAATTAATTTCATAAAATATGAAATTACAATTTTGCCCCTACGAGTAGGGGTATTTCGTTCAGCTTGTGTTTGTGTTTGAGAAAAAAAAAATCTAGCTCTATAAAAGAGAACAGAACAAGAAAAACAAGAACGCATGACCGAGTCAAAAAGTGACCAAAGTGATAGAGTAACAAAGTCTACGTCTACTGCCCCACCAGCCACTGAACATTTGTGATCTCGATTTTCACACTGAGATGCAAGAGGTGTATTGAAGACGAAGCTTCCTCCATATTGTAACATGCCGACACAAAAATATTATTATTCGTGAATTTAATTAATTTCATAAAATATAAAATTACAATTTTACCTCTGAGAGCAGGGTTATTTTGGTCACTTTATAATCATGTTCAGCTTGTGTTTGTGTTTGACAAAAAAAACACCGATATTATTCATAACTTAACCACCTATGAAGTTCAGTAAATGTGGGGTTTTATCACAAATGGCATTAGTGTTATTATGAGCAGAACCACTCATTATAAGTTGTAATTTATTTAGTCAAGTTTCTGATGTTGGACTTTATATTCTTCAACATTAATTTCCTTTAAAATGTAAGAGCGAAACTAAAAGTTAGACTAAATTGCATAGATGAAAAATACGGTCATTCAAGAATATAGATAATATATTCCGTAATAAATGGACTATAGTATGCTCACTTGCGATGCAAATGGAAATATACATGTTCAAGCAAATTGACTAAATGATTCATGGGGTAAATACTAGCTAATGAAAAAAGTGGTCAAGTACTTGATGACTAGTAAAATAATGTGTAGACAAATTAAAATACTAAGAATATAAATGAAAAACAACAGCCAGTGGACTAGAAGTCATGTGAGTTTCATTTTGATCCAAAACAAATATTAATTTATACAAATGTAAAACAGATAAGGATATAAGAAAGATTGAACATAACTAAAGCCAAGTGGAGTCAAAGTCAATGTTGATGACTTATCTCCATGAAAGTTTCAAGTCAAAGCTAATGATGACCATTTGGGAACAGTCTCTCAAATTAAATGTTGTGCATTCTCCACCTCTAGTTGATAATTATAGTTGCTCTCCGTCTCCGCCATGCTCAAATTTCAATTGGATTGAAACCTTGCGCTCTCTCTGCCTCCAAGAATCCGAAAGGGTGTAGAACTCAAAAAGCCGCATGGCTGAGCATTTGCTCGAAAGCAAAAAGGTCTTGAAAGTTTATGAAGAAGAGGAGGCGGGAGATGCTAACTGAGAAGCTGAAGAAGAAAAGTTCAATGCTAAGAAAGAAGGCCAAATGTCACAATTGGTACTCGTGGTTTCCTTTGAATTCAAGAAATCAGTAATCATTTTCCGCAGAAGGAACATTATTTCTCGTGCTTAAATATTGAGTGGAGGCCGGTATTGGGCTCAAGGGCGGACCTAAGCTTTACTCCAGCCTAGGGGAAGATTTATAAAGTATTGAACATGGTTTAAATTTTATAAGCTTTATTTCTACTCTAATAAATATTAGCCAACTTCTGAAGCATATAGGAAATAATAAACATCAATTCAAACCTATATAGATTTGTTTTAAAAGCAGAATTCACGCTACAGCTCTACCAACTTGAGCTATTCTAATCGTACCGATATTGGGCTACACCCCACAGAGAGCAATCATCAAAAAATTTCTTCTAGCCACCCAAAACGCCATATTTGAACCTTGAGATCCTAGAGGAAATAGCTCTCCTCCTCTAAAAAATTGTACCAACCTATCTTCAGTGAGTTCTTCAATCATGGTACGTTTTTCTCTTTTTTTTATATATATTCAATTTCCAATTTTAATTGTTGTTGTTAAATTTTTATGATTTAGGGTTTGAGTGAAAACTTTTGGAGACTGTTGAGATATATTTTATTTTTGCAACTTGAATTATTAATTAGCATATATGATTTTTGAAGTTGGACAATGTGTTTGATTTGGTATTTATTTACATTTTGTACTTCTTTATGTTATATTTGCTTGTAATGTGGCCATGTTTGATTTATAAAATTTTATTTACATTTTTGTTTCAAGAGAAAAAAAATGGCTTATAATATATCTTCTCTATATAAAAAATATGTAGCTTACCCCCATAAAAATTCCTAGGTCCCGCTGGGCTGGTATGAAAAATCAAGATGAGCAGGATTCTCTTGGATCATTCTGAAGTGAAACTGATGGTTGTGATAGAATGAGGTATTTGACAGCAAATATTTTCCCTTCCACAGCTGATACTTTGACGCCGACACCGACACATCTCCGACATCATTCTGGGATGTCCAAGGAGAAGGAGGTGTTTCCTCGTACACAAGCTGAATGCCAAACTCCTGTGTCCAGAAACAATTAGATTCATCTTTAACAGAAACATGCACTTCTTCCCCAACCTCCAATTCATTGTATCCAAAGTGCCAATTGCTATACCATAACATATGTCCAATTTTTTCCGGAAGACCTACTGTGACGGGGTAATAGCTCCACATAAGATCCTTGGCCTCATTACTCACTTTAATTACAAACTTACATTGTCCAAATTAACGCTGAGTATCAGGTTTTATATTGGTTCATAGACAACACATGCACGTAACCCTCAGAGCTTGATAGGATGGGACGGTATAATAATAGACAACACTGAGTTTCCCCTACCCGTGTAGCTGTACCAATTTGGAATCTTGCTTCCATGAAGGAAAATGCTAAATATGCCACATTCATACACTACCTGTTTGATGGAGATCATATGTACTAGGTCATATAATTCATAGTGATAATAACGAGAGAGAGAGAGAGAGAGAGAGAGAGAGAGAGAGAGAGAGAGAGAGAGAGAGAGAGAGTGTGTGTGTGTATCCCTGCAAGCTCCAAAGCCCTGTAGAGGTGAACCAATCTGGAATTTTGTCTCATTAATTACTCATGCTCCTGTTGGGGAACCAATCTGGAATCTTGTCTCATTAATTACTCATGCTCCTGTTGGGGAACCAATCTGGAATCTTGTTTATTGTTCAAACAGCTAGTACCAGCTGGGCCATAAAAAAAATCATAGCCTTGAGTTTCCAATAGAATTGTCCATATTTCCATTTCAACTTAGTGCAAATCATCCTAATAACATTCCAAATTTTAAATAAGAGGACGGCACGGGCAGTAAAAAAGAGAATGTAATTGCTACAAGAAAACCCGGGAGAACATCGACATAAAAATAAATAAATAAAAGAAAAAGAAAAGAACAATGGTTTAGGCCCAAACATTGCAGATCTTGCAATTGTTTACGCAAGCACTCAAATTTTGTTGCACCACAAGCAACCCTTGGAAGCCATCCCAAAATTCCAGAGAAGCAATTAAAATTTATACCTCACACAAGAATGCAATGAAGCAATAAATCTAACAAAACCATTGAATATATACTAAAAGTATATGACCAAGAAAAACAGAAAATGAGACTCACTGGAGACAATTAATGCTGATGTTTCTCTTACAACGGTCAAAGAACAATGCTGGATGAAGGCCAATCCTCTGTGCCTACATAAAAGGAGCGTGAGCAGTCTAAGATTCTTTCGAACAGATGTAATCATTTTCGTGGAGGATGAACATCTTGATCAAATAAGTATGAATATTCAAGATAAGCTGGGTTCATCTGGCTATTTGAGAATTTTCATTGATGAATACGAGCCCGATGGTTGGATAGAAAGTATTTGCCCGCCCCGAATTGATACTTGGATGCTGATGCTGATGCATTTCCAGCAGCGGCAATCTGGCTCGAAGGAGGTGTTTCCTGTTGGATTGTTATATTTTCACTTTGCCCAGAAACTAAATTCCTCATTTATCGAAACATGTACTTGTTCTCCTTCCTCCAATTCATCATTTTCAAACCGCCAGTGGCTTAGCCATAGCATGTCTTGGTTCTTTTTTGGGAGACCTGCTGCAACTGGGCAATAGGTCCACTTAAGACCTTTGGTCTCATTACTAACTTTAAGAAAGTTTGTAGCACTAAACCAAAATGGGCGGCGTGAATACATAACACATACATTTAACCCTCGGATCTTGAGATTAAGATGTGAAGGTAGAATAATAGACAAAACAGAATTACCCATGCTCCTGTAGGTGAACCAATCTGGAATTTTGTTTCCATGAACAAAAATACTAATTATGGCACATTCATACAGTGCCTGTTTCATATAAATCATATGTTACAATGACAAGTTAATTATTCAAACACAGAGAGAGAGAGAGAGAGAGAGAGAGAGAGAGAGAGAGAGCCCCTTCCTTGTTGTACATGTCAGGTAGTTGGTCATTTCAACTTCAGTACTTCCTCCTGTGGATTCCAAATTAAACAGGCCCATATCACTGATCATTTCTATGTCAACCCTTCCCAATGGATTTATGTTGAACAAGCTTTGAACTTCATGTAACTTCTTGCATTTCCAAAGACTTGAATCCAATGATTCAAACATGTTTGGTAGATTCGTTATTCTTTCAAGTGATGTACAATAACTTGCATGCAATTTTCTTAGACTCCGTGGGAGCTTTGGAAGAGTGCGTAGCTTTGTGCAACCTTGTATCTCAAGAGTCTGGAGCATAATAAGACCGTTCATGTTTTCTGGTAGCCTCAGAATTGGGTTTCTACTTAGATTCAAATGCTTCAACAAGGACGAGATACTAAGATCACCAGGAATCTCTGACAGATTGCAGTCAGCCAGACTTTAGGTTCCTAAGCAATTTGGCCAGATTTTCATGGACAAACTGGCTGATTTATATTTTTTCTGATAACATATTTAATTTCTTCCTAACTCTAGTTGTAGAGTGTAAGTGATTAGCAGCAGTCGTACTGGTATTAAGCACAAGCTTTGAGCACCCAGAAAGATCAAGTTCCTGAAGAGATCTGAACATGCTAATTCTTGTTGGAAGCTTCATGAGACTTCTGCAGTCTTTTAGATTCAAGAAGATGAGTTTCTCTAGGTTTCCAAGGGATTCATCAATCACAACCAAATTTATGCAGTCTTTAAGAATCAATTTCTCAAGGTTAGGGACTCCTGACAAGTCGGGGGTTGTCACAAGGCTATGTGAATGACTGAGATTAAGAATTTTCAGTCCTAGAAGAAACTGTTTGAAAAAGATGGCAATTATTTTGGTTGAGTATATATAATGATACATAAACTTGTGGAGAGAGAGAGAGAGATTAGTATCATACCCTGGTTCCCTTCCAAATGTAAAGCATGATTACAGATAAGAAAAGTAGGGTTGGATCGATGCAAATACTAAGGAAAGTCAAGAGGAGAGTCATTGACTTATCTCCATGAGGACTTGGATTCCAAGCTAATGATGAGTGCTTGCTTGAAAGCGGAAATGTCTTGATAGCTGACGAAGAAGAGGAGATGAAAGATGCTAACAGAGAAGCTGAAGAAGAATAAGAAGAAGAATTTGATCAGAGCAACAAAGCAACTACAATCCCATTCAACCTCAAGGAGCATGCACCTTGAATCCCAAGCTAAACACAATCGGCTGTAAATCCCCACGGCTCAGCTTCAACTACAGAGCTAGACCCCAAGTCGGCTCGGATTCCATCCCAGTCACTCTCAGGCGAAATATGGTTATGTAAAGGAGGGCAATAGGTCCACATAAGACCCAAGCTAAAGGTGTTACGAAGTTACAAATGATTGCTCAACTAGAATACCTGTTTGAACAACCCAATCGGCAAATTAACTTATTAATTAATACGAAAATTTACAGGAAATTTGAAATGCACTTTATTTGAAAACACCCTAAAAAGCACAATATCCGTCTTCAGCCCCTCCTGCCTAAACAAAGGAGGGCAATAGGTCCACATCAGACCCTTGGTCACATGCACAAGACGATTATAAATACATACGCAAAAGAGAGCACATTTCTTACAATTAATTTTCTCAAAACATTACAGGCATCTTTATGCCACACTCTATTACGTTTTCCAGGGTCCTCAAGTGATTCTTCGCAAATAATTTCCCTTTCTATGCTGGGGTGGATGCATATAGGGACAAGAGGGGTCAGGTGACCCCTTGCCGACCGGAATATTTGCAGTGGAGGTCCTCAGACGACCCCATGGATGGCTGCTGTGCGACCCTCAATGGCACCCAGCCCTTTTGACAGGACCCGCCCCAGAATTTCCCCTGAAACCGGGGTGGACTCCGTCTTGGTGCTGACATCACACCGATGCCGGGCCCACTTACTAAAAACCCAAGACATCCTACCAAAATTTTGGCAGGGTCTCCCCTGTAAAATGCTCAAACCCAACAATATTTAACATGCATAATTTACATAATAGATATATTCCAACTGCCAGCATGCTTGTAACATACAACAATCCAACATAAAATGGCCTCCGGCCTCAAGTAGTAACCTAACATGGGCGATAATAGAGCATCTACAGAATTTGTTTACAACAAACAGTGGAGTAGAAGGAATTTACACAGACCCTAACAACTGATGAAAAGTTTGGAGCTCGCAACCTGCTCGAACGCTTCCAAAAGCAACTACTGCCTGGGGGGCGCAAAACAGAAATATGTGAGTGGACAAAAATAAACTTTGCACTTTAAATCAACATAATAACCCCACCATGTAAAAATAATGCTCTAGCATGCAGTTTCACAATTCAGAAACCAAAAACTCAAGACCCATTATCCCAAAGTCCAATACATCTCCACATCTCAAATCCACAACTCATTTCCCAAAGATATGCAACTCTCATCAACCCGTAAACACTCATATATATATATACATATATAACTATAACTATACTATAATATATACTTCTCTCCATACTAATGTACCGGGGAAACAATCCAACCGGGGGATTGTTA